GTCGTCGTCGTCAACTTTGTTTATTTTAATTTAATTTTATTATATTCGGGAAAATGCGGAGAAAAACAAATTAAAAAAGAAAATGGGGGAAAAGAAAAAAAAAATTAGCGGGAATGCGGGAATTTCAAAAAAAAAAAAAAAAAATTATTAACGATATTTTATAATCCAAAATAAATACGACAAAACTTTTTTTATTATTATTATTATTTTTTTTTTTTAACAAATTCAAGTCAAAAAACCGTTGACGTGTGGAAATTAATTAATTAAATTTTTTTTTTTTTTAATTTTTCATACCGAAGCCAATATTATTTTTATTATATAAAAAATGTCTTTCGAAATTAAAATAAATTTATTTTTAAATTAAAAAAATTAAAATAAAATTAATAAATTAAATATTTCTCTGTCGAATGAATTTTTTTTTTTATTTCTTTCTCGAATAATTATTTAAGTGATGACGTATTATTGATGTATTTTTTACAAATCGATAAATCGATCGATAATTAATCGAAAATATTTCGAGTTTCCGGGAAAAATGGATTTTTTAATTGTTTTTCTTCTACTCGTTGATCTTATATGGGTTTTATCGTAAGATCGAAAAAAAAAAAAAAACAATAAATAATATTTTTATTATCATTATCAAAATAGGATAATGTTGTGATAAAAAAAAAAAAAAAAAAAAAATACTTATAATGGCCCCCCTAATCAAACAAATGGCAATTTCGTACGTTATTTGCAACCGAACAATCCAAAAAATCCCAATCGTTGAAAAACCTTTCGAGGTTGTAACGTTAAAAGATAATAACGACGATTAGTGTTTAGTATTATTATTATTATTATTTGGTTTATTAGTGATAGGTTTATGTTTTGAAAATGGACGGGATTTATTATTTTTCGCGCGCATTTAATTGATTTAAAGAAATAATAATAATAATAATAATAATAAGAGTTTGTGCAAGTGTTTGTTGTTTTAAATGGACGATGAAATTTATTTGGAAATGATAAATTTGAAAAATAAAATAAAAAAATGGGAACAGCATGGAATTGGTGGAAAGATTGGTGGAGATTGAGAAAATTTGAAAATGGTAGCGTTAAAAAAGAACAAAATCCTGTGGAAAATTCTAAAGAGGGAGAAGCTTATTTTTACATCGTACGTATTATATACCTAAATCCTGATAAAATTGATAAGAGATATTATGAATTTAATTTAAATTAAATTGAATTTTTTTTGATCGGGAATAAATAAATAAATTGCCGGGAGAGAGTGTCGTCGTTACTTTAAAAATCTAAATACACGTTAAATTATTTTGACGATATTATTTGTTTACCAATTTTTTATTATTTTTATTTTTTATTTTGGTTAGAAAAACTTTATTTAGGTAAACAAATATTTTTTAATTATTTATTTACTTTTTTCTTTCTTTCTCTCTCTCTCTCTCTTTTAAAATAAATTATAAAAAATTAAATTGATTCCCTGAAAACTCGCGTGGCAACAAAATAAAATCGTCGTCGGTTAAGTCGGAAAAGTCAGGTAAACAAAAAAAAAAAAAAAAAAAAAAATACGTAAAACGTAAATAAAAAAAATAACGAAGTGATTTGATGACGTGGTTGGTGACACGATGATGAGGTTAAAATAAATAAAAAAAAAATGTTTTAAAAATTTAATTAATTTTTTTTTTCGTTGTTCCATCGATTTTCTTTTTTTTCGTTTGCGACGACGACATTTTTCGCGGGAAAAGTAAAAAAATTTATTATTGTTAAAAATCGATTTAATGTTTTATTATTATTATTATTTTTTTTTTTTTATTACGAGTACGGTTGTTTAAATTATTATTATTATTTGTTAATTAAGTAATTTTGATTTTGTTTGTTTAATTTTTACGATTATAGGGTTAATAAAAAAAAAGTTTATTCGGTTTTTTTTTTTTTTTCCGGATGGAAAAAAACGGTTTTGATTGATTAACGATGTAAAAATTGATTATTTTATCGATTATTGATTTTTTTTATTGATTTACAATTTTTTTAATTTCGTTCGTCGCTTTAACAAAATTTGAAAGTTTTTTTGTTTACGTGTATTACCTAGAAATAAAAGAAATAAAATTTTCATAACGCACGTAACGTTAAATTTTTAAACGTTTGAAAAAATGAAAAAAATGAAATTCGACCACGAAAAACAATTTATTTGTTAGTATTTGCAATATTTTTAATGCAGTAGTAGTAGTAGTAGTGGTAGTGGTAAAAGAAATAGTAGTAGTAGTAGTAGTAGTTGTTGTTGTTGTTGTTGTTTTGTTTGTTTGTTTGTTTGCACGTTCAAAATGATTATATTTCGAATAATTTAAATGCTTTACACGTTTCCATTTTCTTCATGTTCTTGACCTCTTTAACAAAACAACAAAAAATTACGTATAATCATCATTATTATTATTTAAACGTAGATTTCGAACGTAAATTAAATTTTTTTTTTTTTTTTTTTTTTTTTGACAAATTTTTTATTGTATAAACGTAAAAAAAAAAAAAAAAATTTTCTCGTTTGACTTTTCTTTTTTTTTTTTTTTTGTTTTTCTTGTAGATGTTACCCGAAACTTAATGTAAATAATTACACAAGAGGAAAATGAAAAAAAAAATTATTTATTTATTTATTTTTTGCTCATTTTACCCCCCCCTCTCGCCCCCTTACGTTTTGCTGTGAAAACCTTTAAAAAAATGCCTTTTTGAAAAAAAAAAAACCACGTGCATGTTATGGACGTTTTCAACGAGTATTCATGGAGGAATTTTATAAAAAAATACAAAAAGGGGGGGACGTTTGATATTTTTCAATTAATGACGATGGTGAATGTCAATAATGTAAGTTTTATTATAAATAAATCCTCTTTTTTATATTATTTGTATATAACCTGTTTCGACCATCCCGAAAAAAGGTACGTTTAATTTTAAATTATTAATTATTAATTAATTAATTAATTAATTGACGAGGGAGGAGGAGTAGTAGTAGTAGTAACAATTTAAAATGAAAATTGTAAAAGTTTCAAATTTATTTTTAATTTGAACGCTAATAAAACCACGAATTTTTTTTTTGTTTTTTTACTCGTACAGGTTCCCCTTCCCCCTCTCCCCCCCACATTGAAACTTTTGATTTACTGACTGGAGAAAACAAAAAAATTATAAAACTTACGCGATTCGTTCTTCTGGAAAAAAAAAATGTTGTTGTTGTTGTTGTTATTACGTCGTTTTAATTATTCCCTCGAATTTTCCTTTCGTGTTTTTGTTTTGTTTTGATAATTGTACCTGACCTTGGAGTTTGTGTTAATTCGTGTGTTTTTTTTTTTTTTTTAACATAATTGATTTATTACCCGAAACAACATTTTTTTTTTTTTTCAATATCATTCCAAAAAAAAATAAATTTTTTTTATTTTTTCGGTTTTTTTTTTTTTTAAAATTATTACTTAGGGGGAAAAACATGTTATGTTTACAGGGCGAATTGTCGGACGATGAAGCGGGGGCGGAAAAAGGTAAACAGGTAGTGGTCGGGATTTGTGCCATGGGTAAAAAATCCCAAAGTAAACCCATGAAAGAAATATTGACAAGATTGGAAGAATTTGAGTATTTGAAAATGCTCGTTTTTCCAAAAAAAACGATACTTAAGGTTTGTTTTGATATAAATTTATGCATTCCCCTTATTAATTATTATTATTATTATTAATAATGAAATAGAAAAATAATTTGAGGGTCGCGTTGAAAAAAAATAAATAAAAATCGGGTTTGTTGTTGTTTACGTTTCGGTTTCAAATTTTTTTTTTTTTTTTTTTTTTTTGTAATGCCCCGTGTATAATATATATTTTGGAGATTTGCCACAGTTTTTTTAAAGTTCAAATTTAATATTTAACGTTTAACATCTGACATTATCACCGAAAAGATTAAGAAAAAGCGCAATTAGAAATTAATTTTTTTTTTTAAAAAAATGACAAATCCGTACCTTGATTACGTTTTTACCGTGTTTGTAAGGATAAATTTAAAAAAAAAAAAAAATGTTTGTATTTAAGTAATACGTTAATTGTGTGTGTGTGATTTCTGTCATTTTTTTTTTTTTTCTTAGAAATCAGTCGACGAGTGGCCTGTGTGCGATTGTTTAATATCGTTTCACAGCAAAGGTTTTCCCTTAGACAAAGCAATGCAATATGCAAACTTGAGGAATCCGTTCATAATAAACAATTTGGATATGCAATACGACATTCAGGATAGAAGGAAAGTGTATGCGTTGCTCGAAAGCGAAGGAATAGAAATTCCAAGATATGCCGTTTTAGATAGGGATTCACCAACGTCGAGTAATAAGTTTTTTTTTTTTTTTGTTAAAAAAAAAGCCCCCCATTTTTATATAAAAATTTTCCAATCGTTTACTTTTCTTTTTTTTTTAGAAGATGAATTGATCGAATCGGAAGATCACGTCGAAGTTAACGGTGTTATTTTTAACAAGCCTTTCGTTGAAAAACCCGTTTCCGCAGAAGATCATAACATTTATATATATTATCCGACTTCGGCGGGGGGAGGTAGTCAACGACTTTTTAGAAAAGTGATTTTCAAAAATATATATTTTTTCTTTTTTCTTTTTTTTTTTTTTTTTTCTAACGGATGATGACAATCTTTTTGTTTGGAGACAGAAGAAAAAGACGTTTTTTTTTTTTCCATGAAATATCTGTCGAATTAATAAATATTTCATTATAATAATTTTCCAACAGATTGGAAGTAGGAGCAGCGTTTATTCTCCAGAATCAAAAGTACGAAAAACTGGAAGTTTCATATACGAAGATTTCATGCCAACCGATGGTACGTTTTAAAATGAAATTTTATTACAATCACGAGGAGAAAATTTTCTTTATTATTATTATTATTTGTTTTTTTTTTTTTAAATGAAAAATGTCGAAATTTTAAAAATTTGACTCGCGAGTCAAAATATGGCGACTTTTGATTGAAGGATTGTTCAATTTTCATGGAAATTTATTTTTAAACGAGATTATAAAATCGTAAAAAAAAAATTATTTTATTTTCTTTCTTTTCTGACAATTTCGTGTGGGGGACCCCCATAATTAAATTACAACTTAAAACTTTTATTTTAATTTAACGACGATATTTTAAATGCGTTTTAGAAAAAGAAACTTTATCTAATATTTTCCGGACGGATTTTTAATCAAAATTGATAATTGGGAAAATTTGTGTGGAAAAATGCGTGGCTTTAGAATAAGAGGAAATGCAACGTTCGATCGAAATTTAAGTTCAAAGAGACTCTTCAGTTTTAACTTATTTCTAGGTACAGATGTTAAGGTCTACACCGTCGGACCCGATTATGCTCATGCGGAAGCGAGGAAATCTCCGGCATTAGATGGTAAAGTCGAAAGGGATTCCGAAGGAAAAGAAATCCGATATCCGGTCATTTTGAGCAACGCGGAAAAATTAATTTCTAGAAAAGTTTGCCTGGCGTTTAAACAAACGGTTTGCGGTTTCGATTTGTTAAGGTATAATAACAAACTATTTGCATCGTCATACCGTGTTTCGACAAACAAACAAACTCTTGATTTGTTTTTCCGAAGCAGAAGATTTTATACTTTAAAAAAAAAAATTAAAATTATTTTTTTTTTTTTTTGATTTAATTTTGTCACATTTTAGAGCGAACGGAAAATCGTTTGTGTGCGACGTCAACGGTTTCAGTTTCGTTAAAAATTCAAATAAGTATTACGATGATTGCGCAAAAATATTAGGAAATATGATTTTAAGAGAATTGGCTCCGACATTGGATATACCTTGGTCCGTGCCTTTTCAATTGGACGATCCACCCATCGTACCTACGACTTTTGGAAAAATGTAAATAAATTTTTATCGATGGGTAGTAGGTACGTAAAAATTGGAAAACTCGTTTTAAATGCGATGTACTTTTTCAGGATGGAGCTAAGGTGCGTCGTTGCCGTTATAAGGCACGGAGATCGAACTCCAAAACAAAAAATGAAAGTTGAGGTGAGGCATCCGAAATTTTTCGAAATATTTGAAAAATACAACGGGTACAAAAACGGTCACGTGAAATTGAAAAGACCTAAACAACTTCAAGAAATATTAGACACTGCCAGGTACGAAATTTGATTATTCGAAGGTACGAATTTTCCCTTGTTAATGTCAACATTTTTTTTTTTTTTAAAGGTCGCTGTTGGCGGAAATTCAACATTCCACTGCCGATCCGGAAATAGAAGAAAAACAGGGTAAATTAGAACAATTAAAAACAGTATTAGAAATGTACGGTCATTTTTCTGGAATCAACAGAAAGGTTCAAATGAAATATCAACCGAGGGGTCGTCCTAGAGGATCTTCAAGCGATGATGGTAATTTATTATTATTATTTTTTTTATTTTTTGATTCGAGGGGGAGGAGGGGGGGATTTTGAAATAAAAAATTTCCACATTTTTTTTTTCTTTTATTCAGACGCCCCTAAGGAACCATCATTAGTTTTAATATTAAAATGGGGAGGAGAATTAACTCCTGCAGGACGAATTCAAGCGGAAGAATTGGGTAGAATTTTCCGCTGTATGTACCCAGGTGGCCAAGGTAGACATATTCACAATGGTTCGTAGTTTTCGATGTATTCCGCTCATTAAAAACTAAATAAAAAAAATTAAAAAAAAAAGTAGGAAGTAGTATTATTATTATTATTATTTTTCTTTACAACAGAAAAAAAAAAACGAATTTTTTTTGTTTTTTTTTGTGAATTACTTCTTTCATGTAATTTTTGCAGTTCTCGATTCTTCGGAAAAAAATGAGACCTCTTATAGAGGTAAAGTTTTAATTAAAAGAAAAAAAAATTAGTCACACTTAGATACACGAGCTTTTCTAATTGAAAAAAAAAAAAAATTACTTTTTGATTAATTTTAAAATGTATTTATTATAAAAAAAAATTATTTAAAATAAGTATAATAAGTATAGTAGAGCTGCAAAGTAGAAAATAGTCGTATAAAATAATTAATTACTTTATTAATGTTTTTATATACATATAATTTTACATAAAATTATTTATTTTATATAATCGGAAAATAAATAAAAAGTAAATTGAAATAAAAAAACAAACTGCTTCTTGCTTACTTTTTAAAATATTATTATTATTATTACTATTATCGTAATGGTAGTAGTAGTAGTAGTAGTAACAACAATAGTTAAAGTATCAGCATGTAATTATTTCATTGCTTGAATTTTTTTTTAACTTTTTATTTTAATTTAATTTAATTTGTTTATTTCTTTTTATTGATTATTTAATTTAATTAATATGTAAAATTAAAATTTTTTTTTAGTTTGCCGACAACAAGTTTCTAATAACAGTTTAATAATTTTTTTTTTTTTTTTCAATTTCGACATGCTTTAAATTTGATTTAAAAAAAAAAATTTCATTGGCTTACGTAGACGTTTTTTTTTTGTTTATGGAATCAGGAGAATATGCAGGGACTCAAGGATTGGGATTACTACGATTGCATTCCACATATCGACACGATCTTAAAATTTATGCTTCCGACGAAGGAAGAGTTCAAATGACGGCAGCTGCATTTGCAAAAGGCTTATTGGCGCTGGAGGGTGAATTAACCCCTATACTCGTGCAAATGGTAAAAAGTGCCAACACGAACGGTCTCTTGGATAACGATTGCGATTCTTCAAAGTATCAAAACATGTAAGATTTTTTAATGTGTATAATGAATAAAGTCGATTATTAGAATTACTGTAATTTTATTTATTTTGTAGGGCCAAATCGAGACTTCACGAATTGATGCAACAAGACAGAGATTTTACGTATGCAGATCGAGAAAGCATAAATCCTTGTAATGCCATAAGCATATCACTTGCAATGGATTTTGTTAAAAATCCGGTTAAATGTTGCGGAAGAGTACAAGAACTCATACAAAAACTTATGTCTATAGTTAAAACTAAGAAAGACGATCCGAAAACAAAAGGTGACGTAGAAAAAAAAATTTTTAATTTTAAAAATTCATTTTTATTTATTTATTTTCGTTTTTCCCCCTCCCCAAAATCAGATGCCATTTTATATCACGGCGAAACGTGGGAATTAATGGGTAGACGTTGGGGTAAAATCGATAAAGATTTTTGTACGAAAAATAAAACTTTCGACATATCTAAAATACCTGATATTTACGATTGCATCAAATACGATTTGCAACACAATCAGCACACGTTACAATTCGAACAAGCCGAAGAACTGTACACATATGCTAAATATTTGGCCGATATCGTCATACCTCAGGTATGCTACGTACGATTAATGATAGATTATATTTTAAACTGGAAATGTGACTTCAAACGTGATTTTAGGAATACGGTTTAACCGTTCAGGAAAAATTAGCCATCGGACAAGGGATATGCACACCACTGCTTAAAAAAATCAAAGCCGATTTGCAAAGAAACATTGAAGAATGTGAAGAATCTGTAAATAGATTAAATCCTAGGTATAGTCACGGAGTTTCCAGTCCAGGTAGACACGTTAGAACGCGATTATATTTCACGAGTGAAAGTCATGTTCACAGTTTGCTCACCGTTTTCCGTTTTGGAGAATTGTTAGATGTAAGTAAATGGTACGAAACGTATGCGTTCGATATTATTAACTGTTAAAAAATTTTCCAGGTTAATACCGACGAACAATGGCACAGAGCAATGGAATACGTATCGATGGTGTCCGAGTTGAATTACATGTCTCAAGTCGTTATAATGTTATACGAAGATCCGACAAAAGATCCAACATCCGAAGAAAGGTTTCACGTCGAACTTCATTTTTCACCCGGCGTAAATTGTTGCGTACAAAAAAATTTACCTCCAGGTCCAGGTTTCAGGCCGCACAGTCGTAACGAAAGTAATGCTAATTCGCTTAGTCCCGTAAGTAAATTTTTTTTTTTTTTAACTTTCGATCGACTTTTGTCTCATCCTTTTTTTTTTGTTTTCAACGTCAGAGCTGTGATCCCAGTTTTGATGACATGTCCGGAATGGATAGTCAAAGTTCAACTCATTTAATAACCGTTAAAAGTTCTAAAAGCGTACTGGAAATGTTAGATAAAAATGACGTGGAAAAAGAATTATCGTCGAAGGAATTAAGTTCGGAAATAAATTACAAATGCTCATTGAAAGACAGTATAGAAACGTATAGAAATTCGAAAAATTTTAAGGGAAAAAACAAAGGTAAAACATCATATTCCTTTTTAAAAATGTTCAGAACTTGCGACGGGCGAGTGGGAAAAAACTCATCATCATCATCATCATTATTATTATTTTTCCAGGTGAAAAATTAAACGAAACGGAAAATGCGAGTTCGTGTTTGCCATCGTCTTCCAATCATTCAGACACACTCGAATTCGATAATAAAAAAGAAAAATGTTATAAAAAGGAAGGAGGTGAATAAAAAATTTTATTATTATTATTTAATAAGGTTTTAAGTAATAATTTAAAAAAAAAAAAAAAAAATAGTTAGACATTTTGTCTCTCCAGGTTTGTCGCTAGGTATCGCACACATTATTTTAATTTTTTTTTTGGTTTTAAATGGCATGAAAAAAAAAAAAAAAAAATCGTGAGAAAAAAAAAAAAAAACATTTCCGTTGTTTTTAAAATTTAAGTATTTTTCATAGAGTTAGTATCCGTATCATCGGAAGAAAAAAATAAAAAATCACTTTTGAAGGAATCGTCGAATCCGTTTCAGCCTTCTTCGCCTATACCCATTAGAAACAAAGGTAAAACACTAAAATAGAAAAAAAATCAATAAATCAATAAATCGATGACTAATAACAACAACGAAATATTATAACTTAATAACATTTTATTTCGATCACGTGTGCAACACGTGTATTAACCCATAAATTTTGTTTTTACGGTTTTTGATTCGATATAATAACCGCTTGAATCGTTTATTTGTTTTCAATTGTAAAAATTACCGCTAACGTTATTATTATTATTATTATTATTATTATTATCATTAATTAATTTTTTTTTTTTACAGGAATGGGAAAAAGTAACGAAACTTACGGAACGACGGAATTGGCTAAAAATCTTTCATCGAGACTTAATTTACAAGATGGCGAACCGCGATCGAAAAGTTTTGACATAGCACGTCAGTCTGATAATTCACCAAAAGGTATTTAAATTTCTATTTTTTTTTTTTTTGTACCTGATCTCTCTTTCTCTCTCTCTCTCTCTTTCTCTTTATTCTCTCACTTCTTTCTTATTTCTTTCTTTCTCTTTCTTTTTTTTATTCGTCTTCTGTCGGATATAAATAATTCAATTTTTTTTTTTTTTTTAACAAAAGGTGTTTCTTTTATATTTAAAGGTGTTGAAATTTATTTATTGATTTATTGATTTTTATTTCAAAATGGCGATTTTTAAAAGCAAAAAAAAAAAAATTTTTTTAATGAATTTTCTTTTCTTTTCTTTTTTTTTTTTTTTATCTCTCTCACTCACTCTCTCACTCTCCCGTCAATTAACAAGAGCTTTGTCAAAGTCTGGATAAAGTCACCAAAAGGAGTAAGTACCGTACAAAAAAATTTTTTTTTTTCAATTTTTTATTTTATTTTATTTTATTGGTTTTTTTTTTGTGTTTAACGTTGGTATGCCTTTTTTTATAAATTTGTTAAGGTATAAAAAACAGGTATCGTGAAAATTTTCAATTGTTCGAATTGAAAACATTTCGAAAAATAATTTTTTGTGATGTTTTCAAAAAAAAAAAAAAGAAATTTTCATCTTTCATTTTTAAAAAATTAATTTTCCGGTTTTTGCAAAAAATATTTCCGCTATTACTATTATTATTATTATTATTATTATTATTAGCAGCGTACGTCAATTAATAATAATAATAATAATCACGTTTTAAATGAAGTTAAAACGTTCGCGTTTATGTAATTTTTTTAAAAATTTGAAAATAATTATTTTCAAATTTTTGGCGCCAAATTTTTCCACGTGATTTTTTTCTTTTCCCTTTTTCGATTATATCGGAATTATCAATTTGTTAATCGATCGATAACGAGATATCGAGGGGAAAACGTTTAAAAAAAAAAAAAATTTTTTTTTTTTTTTCAAACTATTATTGCTATAAAAACTATTATTATATATTTTTTATTCAAACTTATTGTAAAACTTGTTGATGATGATGATGATGATGATGAGACTCCTGTAGGTAGAGAAATTTTTTTGAAATTGCGATGTGATTCCTGAACTCCGTGCCTGCGGTGTTTTTTTTTACCCACTACCTGTTTTTATTATTATTATTATTATTTTGCTTTTTTCCTTTTAATTTTTTTTGCATGAAAATTTTTTTTTGTTTCGGTTTTGCCTATAAAAATGGCCGATTTTCATGACCTTTGACTCATGTTAATTTATTATTATTATTATTAACACGTCCGTCGTGGTTTTTTCTTATCTTTTTTTAACGAGGAACATATTTAACGCTTTTTATTATTATTATTATTGTTATTAAGCAAGATTTTTTTTTTTTTTAAACGACGGATTAGTTATAATTTCTTTTTCTTTTTGGTAATTTTCCTTTTATTCTCTTTTCCTTTTCTTACTGACTGTCGCACGATATTAATAAAAACAAAAAAAAAATATAAAGATATTTTAGATGCACCGATTATATATTGTAAAAAAACAAACAGCGAAACCGGTTTTACTCCTTTGCTGTCGGTCAAACGCGATATTCAGGCTCGTGAAAATGCGAAAGAATCGAATAAAAAAATTCTTTTATTACCCGAAATTTTAAACGAGGAAACGAAAATAAAAATAAAAAATTCGTCTGAACTTTTTACCGATTGTTTAGTCATACCGAAAACTTTTCCTCTCCTTTTGGAATCGACAAACGATGCTTTGCCCGAATGTCAAAGGAAAATTTCTTCCGGTAGCATAATAGGAGACGAATTATTATTCGCGGAAGAAGAAATTCATTGCGAAAATAAATCCGATGAGGAAAATTTTTTTTTTCACGACAACTCAGTCGATTCGAATTGTTTTCCGGGAAATTTTTTCAGAAAAAAATCCAAATCTCTACCGTCTGATTTTATATGTTCCTTATTCAAAGGAACGACGACGACGACCGTTTTTCCTTCGTCTCCTTTTTTTAAACCCCAAATAAAAATTTGTCAGGTTTCATCGGATGGCGGTTCGGTCAAGGGTTTTAAAATTTTAAAAGATTTTCCTAAAAATGTCGTCGATAATAGAAATTCGTCGTCGAAAACGGTCATTGAACAAATTAAATCATTAAAAAATACGGTTTGGAAATGTCGGAAGGCGGACATTTTAAAACCCGCGAATAAAAACGCGAAAGAATTTTCCGCCGCGGATTTATCTCGTTCTTTATTTCATTGAAACGATAGAGTTTGTGCTGATAAAAATAAAAAAGAAAGGAAAAATTCAAATATCGTTTCCGCTGTTGTTAGTGATAGTAGAATTCGGAGCATCTCGTTAGGTTTAATGAGGGGAAAAGATGTTGGCAACACATCATCCGCCAATCGTTCGCAATCCTTAAAACTCTTTGTTACGGGTGGGAAAAATTCAGGTATAAAATTTTCCGCTTTGCGTCATACGAAATCCTCTCCGTCAATACTTGCTAAAAGCGATAATCCGCATTACCAATGTAAAAAACCAAAACCTGTCGTACGTACAGACGCATCGAGACGCCACAGGCACAGCGTTGCGAGTCACCATCACAATTTCAAACAGAATCTGTCCTATTTCAAATTGTACGGAATCTCCGTGGGACCCACCGGAGTCATATTCAATCAAAGTGACAAAACTAAAAACAAATTACTCGGAAGTACAAGCAGTTTGTTTTCAACGGCCGTCATAAGCGGAAGTTCGAGCGCTCCCAATTTGAGAGACACCATTGGAACGACCACGACCGTTTCCGGTAAGAAATCACGGGTGAATTTATATCAAAATAATTTTTTTAACGAAATTTTTTTTTTTTCTCTTGTTTTCTTTCTTTTTCGACCCGGTCCCCCCTCCCTCCGTGTTTTATCCAGGGAGCGAAGAACGACACGTGAAAGAACACAGAGTTCGATGGTATTCTTTATCAAGTATATTTTCCGTTAAACCCGTTCAAGAAGTTCCCCAAAAACCTTTGAAAAATGCAGAAAATCTACTCGGTTCCTCCTTGTATTTAAGCGATTACATAAGCATACATAAACTCTACGAAAATTGGGTGAAAAAAAAACTGAGTGAGTGTTTTTACTCTCTCTCTCTCTCTCTCTTCTCCCTCCCCTTCTCCACTCGGAGAGACAAAAAATAATAATAATTTTCCGATAGATTTTCGAATAGGGATACCTGCCATGTTTTTATTACGTTATATTTCACCGTCACTCTCCATTTATAAATTTATTGAAAAAAAAAAACTTAGGCGGCAGACTCGTGCCACGGATTTTATTAAAACAAAATCTATTTACACGTTTCAGCCATCGAAGGATGCGGTGGAGTGCCACCGATCAGACCGTTGGAAACGTTACACAACGCTTTGTCCCTTAAACAATTGGATATATTTTTGGAAACGATGACGGCGGCTCCTTTGTACAGAACGCCGACAAACACGCCGCCACATTTACCATCGACCCCTCAACCGAGTTCTCATCCTCTCGGAAGTGAGTATAGCGAAGATATTTTTTGGAATTATCAAAATCAAAAATATTACGATCCGTAACAAAAAAAAAAAAAAAAAAAAAAAAACTTATTAACTTTTTTGTTGTTGTTATTAATTTTAATTTTGAATAATTTATTTATTGTAAAAAAAATTTGGTTTTTTAAATAAGATTTTTTTTTAGGTATGATTATTAACGTTTTTTATTTTATTAAATACGTTTTAATACGTTTTTTATTTTTATAAATAAATAGTGTAAGAGTTTTTCTCCCCCCCACCCCCACCCACGCCCCCTCGGAAAAAATTAAATCGATAATGAATTCAAATGTCGAAAAAAAATTAATAATTATGTTGATGATGATGATGATGATGATGATGGTAAAGTTGATGAAAACTAATTAATTAATTAATTGGTTTTTTAATTGCGTTTTATTTTTTTATTTTGTTTCTGTTTTAAATCGAAATCGATCAATTAGCGAATCGATTCGATTGATTTTTTGTAACGATAGAAAAACAAATATGGCGGCGGTAAAAAAAAACAAGAAGTCTGCGTAAGAAAATTATTCAATTATTATTTTTTCGATTAATAAATAATCTGTAAATATGCCTTTCGATGCCTTTCGATATATCGATAATTCCTTCGAGTTTCGATTATAAAACGATATTAGAAAAGGTTAATTTAATTTTTTTTTTTTTTTAATAATTTTACGTTAAAGATATTAATTGGAGCGGAGCATCATCGTTAGTTTACAGCAGTGGTCCATCATCTCCGAATGCTTTTATTGATCCAAACGTATGTAAAAAAATAAATGACGGATCAGCATCCGTATTAAACAGTCAGTAAGTTCATCTTCTTTTTCTTTTTTTTTTTTTTTTTTTTAAATTTCGTTTCGTCTAAACCGAAATAAAATAAAAATTTAAACTTTTTCAAGTTTGGAAAAATATTTAAATTCGTCGGATAGAGGAAACACGTCATCGTTTTCTCCTTCTCCACAAATTCAAACTCAAACTTCCGGTTTTGATTATACGAACGAATTAAATACCGTCGGAATATTATTTGAAAATTCAGAAGATTTAGAAGAAGCATCTCAACAAGGTAAACCTGAAGAACAAAAAGACATTTTTTTTTTTTTTTTTTTACGACGGCGACGGCGACGGCGGCCATTTTTCTTATTTTTCCTTTTTCCTGTTTTGTAGGTAGCGACAGCGGAGAATTGACGCCGGTTTCGGGTGATTCCGAATTTGCATATCAAAATCAAGAAGAATCGACGAATACATTTGAAGAATTAAAAATAGAAAAGGATAAAAGGGAAAATTTAAATTCGGATGATTCTGTCAAAGGACTCATAATTACAACGAAAAAAAATATTGATGATAATAATATAAAATTGGAAAAAGATGGAGAAGATGAGGAGGAGGAGGAGGAGGAGGATGAATGTGAGAAAACAATAACGACCACAAATTTAGCACCCAGAGAAAGCATCGTTGGATTTTTTAATAACAAAACCGATACCAAAAATGATAAATTAAACTTATAAGTCTGAAAATGGGAGGGGAGGTGTGGGGGGAGGTATGGGGAGTATGGGGGGTTTGGGAGGGGAAGGGTTTATCTCACTCAAGATTTGAAAAAATTTGAATGAATGAAAAAAAAAAAGATTGAAATCCATAAAATTTTATTTATTTTAATTTATTTTTCTATTATCTATTTATTATCATATACGTTAAACATACACAGAAAAAAATATTATTATTATTATTATTATTATTATTATTATTTTATAGAAAGAATTTTTTTTTTGGTTGCTTTACAATCAAATTTCACTTGTTTTTTTTTTTTTTTTATATAATTTTTTTTTTAGAAAGTGAGACGTGAGAAATTTTTTTTTTTTTTTACTTACTTACCTCAATTACGTTTCAATTATTATTATTATTATTATTTTATTATATTGACTTCCCTTTTATTTTACCTCATTAAGTTTAATCTTTTTTTTTTAGTTTTTTTTTTTGGTTTTTGTAATTTTTAATTTATTTAAAGAGAAAATAATTGAAAATTTGGTTTTTTTTTTTTTGAAGTTTTAAGTATGTCTGTAGTTATTATTTATACATTGATTTTTTTTTGATAAAAATAAATTTTAATTCAATTTAGATTTTTTAAATAAAAAAAAAAAAAAAAAAAGAGAAAAAAAGATAAATTTTCAATAAATTTTAAAATAATTAAAAAATAAATAAAAAATAAATTATGAAAATTTATTTATTAAATGTGTATATTGTTTATGTTTAGTTTAAATAAATTTCATAAAGAGTTTTAATAAATAAAGTTTTTTTTTTAATTGAGTGATTTATTAAATTTTTTCCGTTTTTCTATTAAAAATTAAAGTATTTTGGTTTCGTCATATGTATATTAATTGACGCCATAGATTCAAAAACCGGAAGTCCGACATTTTGCGTATATAAATGAATAAAACGAATGTAACGGAAATTATCAAAGAAGTGACGTTAAATTTGTAAAAAAAAAAAAAATTTTTAAATAAAAAAAAATTAACGTGAATTCGTTTTTTTATTTTTTACGTTATTGATTTTAATTAATAATTTAAAAAAATATATTTTAAAATAAAAAGTATTTAAATGATTTTAGCAGTGACGCCATGTTCGATAAAAAACAAGTGACTTGTCTGTCGTTCTCACGTAGAAATTGTATTCGGATTAAAAAAGTGAAATACTGTCAATGTTTTTAATTTATTAAAAAATATATTATTTGAATTTAAAAATGGGCGTGATTAGGTGATATAAAGTTAGTAATATTTAAATAATAATATCGAGTTTTTATTTTTATTTTTTATTTTATTTTTTTATTTTTTTTTGTTAAATTTGAGTGCCATTGTATAGCCAAAGGTCTTCCCTTATTCGGCACATCTTCCAACGTTTTTTTCATTGCCATTGGTTACATTTAAAATTTTCTATTTGATTTACGTATAATAAATTGTATCAATTTTAACAATCGAGTGATTATATATTAATTATTATTATTATTTTCACGGTAAATATATATAAATTATTGTGAGGATTTTTTTTACTTCAAACTTCATTTGAACTACTTTTGGTCAAAACATTGGGGCAGTAAAATGGCGGTTTATAGGGGATAGTTAATGCTTTACTATAAACAAAAATATTTACTACGTGATTTTAAATGAATTCCCCTCAGTTAAATACACATTTTTAAATAACTATTTAAATATTTAATTAAAATTTTTCGATATTAGTCAAGGATAACTTGCGTTCGTACTTGTCAAATATATGGCAAATATAATATATATGTAATTTCAATATTTATTTTTTAGTATCTATATTTTTATTTCTCAAATTTTATAGATAAGTTTTTACTTGGGATTGATAATGCTTTTAAATCTGTGATTTAGATGTTATTAAAAATATAATTTATGGCACCAAAATAATTATAATATAAGCAGTATTAAACCAAAGCATAATTAGAATCTTTACTGAAATTATTGTTACATGAATAGTCGAATGCCTTATAAAATAAAATAGGTTTATTTTATTTATAATGCAGTGAAAAAAGTGAATTTTATTTTTTCAGATTAAAATTTGCACAATAAACATGATGAAGAAATAATAATTTTTTTTTAAGTGTAAAAGTGGGAATTTTAAATTGACTTTTTCAAAATGGCTGTGCCAACAGATATGGATGGTTTCAATGATAAAATTGGAACCACTGACACATATTCAAAGTTATCATTAGGAGATGCTCTTATTAATTATTTAGGAAACCATGGTAATTCAATAGAATGCACAGACATTGGACAATTCATTGATAAACTTGTGCCATGGTTGACTTGCAGTAATTTTAAGGTAAGTTTTTTTTTTAAATTACACAAATTACTTTTCACATTTCCTTATATATAAAATGTATGAAAAGAATGAAATGTGCAACATTCAAACAAACTCGTGATTAATCGATCGATTGATTGATTGAGATTTGAAGTCTTTGTTTAGTCATAACTTCCTATGTGAATAATGAAATCGTTTATTGTTTACAATTATCGAAAACGTTTAGAACTTTAAATATTTTGGCAACTAAACATTTTTTTTTTATCATTTTCATTAATTGTATTTTTAAATTTAATGATTCTGAAGTTTTTCCATTTTTATAAAAGTACTAAATTAATAATGAAAACTATTGATATTCAATTCATATCGCAAATGAGATAAATCCAACCTATATTTAATAATTGAATGAATCATATATTTAATTATTAATCGATTTGCATACATGTGTTACATTTATAATTTTTATTCTATTACAATTTTATTAATTTGAACTCTATGAATAAATAATAAAATATTAAAATGTTATTAACACACTCGGGGGTGAATGTACATGATTCCATAATTATTTTATTTTTGAATTATTAATTTCGAATAAACATATTACACAAGACTAATAATAATAAAAGTTAGGATACATAATTTATTAAGTTTTTTTTTTAATTCACATAATCAGTTTAATAATTACCTACTGTATTAGTTTAAAAAATCAAATCATAAATTAATATTAAATTTAATAATAATTATTTTTGAGGGTTTACTCGAAGGGGGAAAAATTCCAAGTCGATTTCAATTTTAATTATATTAATTTAAATATTTTTCTATGACTTTTAATCAGATGTTTATAAAAATTATCTTTATAAAGGTTTTTTTTGTTGTTTTGGTAGACATGATGATAATAAAGATAAAATTTTGTAATGTAATAAAAAAAAAAAAAAAATTTTTTTTTTTTGTTGCATTTCTTCGCTTCATGAGGTCAAATTTTGCCCTTGGCTAAAAATTTCGTTTTACTTTTTTTTTTTTTTTTTTTTTTAAGAAACAAAAAAATGATTTGAAATTTAATTTAATTTAATTTTTTCTTATCGTTTTTGTTTTTAGTTTCCTTCCTTTTTGCTAAACTTATATAAAATGTGAGTTTTTATTTTATAATGATTATTAAAATGTAGGCGAATTTAAAGGAAAGGAAAAATTTTTTTTTTTTTTTTTGTTATATTACGATGTTAATATTCGTAGAATGATAATTATAAACGAGATTGACTCATTTGAAATTTTATAAGATTTTTTTAATTTATTTTTAATCAGGAAAATTCATTTGTGTTAATAAAATTCGTGTTTAACCAAAAAAAAAATTAAATGATGTTATTGATTCGGGAAAAGTATTAAATAAAAAAAAAGCTGTTCCGTGATTTTTCATAAAATCCTTCGGTATAATATATATTAGGAATAAGTTTGATAGGGCGTTAGAAATATGTCACAACGAAATTAGTTATGTGGGCGATCGAAGTGAATGAGTTACCTGTATAAAATTAAATGCAATATAAGAAAAGGAAAAAGTGAATGGAATAGGCTTTGTTTTGTGAAACAAATAAAAGAGCAAACGTTTTTTTCGCTTTTATAAAATTAGCTTTTAAATAGAATGAGAAATTTACAAAAAAAAAAAACAAAAATAAATGAGGAATTTTATATAAAATTATCAATGAAATTTTTTTGCAAACGAGAGCAAAATATGAATTTTTCAGTATCAATTCTTGATAATAATAATAAAAAGGAAAATGAAAACTTTTTTTTTCTCTATTTAATTGTATACTTCTTATAAAGTATGATTTTCATACTTTCCATTTGTATATATACATAATTAGAATATTAATATATTTATTGCTTCAAAAGGCGTTTTTCAAAACATAATAATTTTTATATTAAGCAAAATTGCATTATTAGGTTCGTAATTATTATTAAACTATATAAAAAAAAAATTATAGTAAAAGAATTATGGGGTTATCATCACGTTCATTCATTCATTTATTATTACTATTATTATTATTAATAAAAATCAAATTATTTAAATTAAAACGTAATATTAATGTAAACAAATGACGTCATTTAAAAATTGTTAACGTAAAATGTATGATTGGTCGTTGTGCTAATTTCGAATCCATTAAAACTTTTTTATTATTATTATAATAATTGTCTGTCTATTATGTATTTGTCGTTTCGAATTTCTTTACGATTAAATTGTAAAGGGATGATTGTGTGGGTGTGCGTACTTAAAAAAAAAAAAAAAAATTTAATGCGGGGTGTCCCCCCGTAAATTGTATAGCTTTTTCATTGAATTTTTCCAACGTTTTATTGGTCCTCCTGCGATGTTTTGTAATTTTACTACCCTTTGCATATACAATAAATTCAATTTTTCCCTCGGTTTTTTTTTTTTTATTGTCGGTTTTCTCTGCTGCCACGAACGAATTAATTAATTTGTATCGTTTTTGTTTAGTGGTTGTTTCTTAACTTTCTCCGGTTTTTTTTCCTTTTTTTTTTTTACCCGATCATCATCATCATCGTCGTCGTGTTTTTCTTCCGCGGTGAGTTTTTATGACTGGTGTGGAATGAAGGATGTGTGAATTCGATAGAAATTTTCTTTCTCATAAAATTTCTTCTGCTTCAGGTTCGCGATTTATACCGTTGTGAGTTTTTATTTTTATTTTTTCGACTGGAATGTTTCATTTGGGTTTTGTCTTGTTTGATTTTCTTACAGTTGTACGCTTTGTTGTTGTTGTTGTTGTTGTTGAGAAGGTAAAATTTTCCGAATTGAAAATTTAGAATTTTCTTAGTTTGCTTTTGTTTACAACCATTTTTTTTTTTCAATTTTCCCCGTGAAAGTTTTTCTATTTTTTTTTCGATCAATTGTTTTCAAAAAGAGAATATGATTGCGTTATCATCACGTCATTAACATTTTTTATTACGGTTTTTACATAATTTTCGAAAAAGAAAAAAAAATCGAATCGATTGTAAAATGTGGAACTTTCTCTTTAAACTTTTTTTCTTTTTTTTTTCGCACAACCAAAAAATCAGATAATGAAATTTGATTTGAATTTTTTTTTTTTTTTAATTTTTAATTTTGCGTTAATGAGTCGCAAACATAAGATGAAATAACATTTAATTACTTTTGTCAAAAATTAAAAGAATGAATATAATGGTCCTCTTTCTTTCGAATTTTGGTACATGGACTTTATTTTTCTAATGACACGTGTTTTTTTTTCCTTTTTTTTAATTTGATAATTTTTTTTAATTATCCCTTGTTGAAATTGATTCCGGAGACGAATTTTTTTTAATCAATTTCGAAATGATTAATTTAATTTAATTAACCGCAAATTTTTTTTTTTTTTGTGGTTTTTGTCCATCTGACAATGGTTGTAGTCGTCGTAGCTAAAAGTTTTAGCTTCGAAAAAAGAAAGAAAGAAAAATTATGAATAATAATAATAATAAATTAAGTACTTAACAAGAGTTAATAATGATCGTGCCGTAAAACGTAATTATTTAAATTTCAACAAACCGGTTTAAAAAAATAATAATAAAAGGAACATAACAATTGTAACGAAAAGCAGACGATAAATTTTTTTTTTTTTTTATATATATATAATTGTAAAAGAAAAAAATTTGTTTTCTACCTTTTAGTTTCTTTTTATTTTTATTTTATTTTTTTTTTGTATGCGTGCGGGAGTGAAAAACGAGGGAGAAATAATTTCTATTTTTATCAAATCGGCCATTTTTTTCGCTTTGCACCCATCATATGACTTTTTCTTCTTCTTCTTACGTCTCGTTACGTAATTGAATGTTTTATTATTATTATTATTATTAGTAGTATTATTATTAATTAAAATATGTGCGGAATGACCGTGAATGAAATTTTAGTTAAGGCACAGCCTTTGCGAAATAATAAATTCAATTCGGATCTTTAATTAATTTTTTTTTTTTTTTCTCAAACGAGCGACAAACGAATCAATTTGGGGGATAAGATAAATATAAACAAGACCAAACTGCAGTTTACACCGAGTCGCCATATTGTTTTGTAGGCGCGGTTATTATTTTTTATAAATAATTTACTCACGTGAAGTACGGAATCCGAAAATAAAATTTCCCTTTGGGGATTCATTGACTGACAATTTTGAATCGCGAAGAATTTTTTTTTTTTTAAAAATATTATCATTATCATTATTACTGTCGTCGTTTTCCCATTTCCCCCGGGAAGATTTCGCATAATGAAATAATTAAAATTTAAGGGGAGAGGGGAGGAGAGGAAACTGGGGAAGAAAGAAAGAAAGAAAGAGGATTACAGGGCATAAACTTTCCACCGTGGAAAAAAAAAAATAAAATGGTCACGTGATATTCGGGGATTAAATTTATTTGGGATTTGAAATTTTAAGTGAAACGAAAATTCTTCCTCTTTCGGATAATAAGACATTAATTATTATTATTTTCGTGATTCATTTTTTTTTTTAAATTCCATTTTGCTTTTTCTAAGACGAAAGAATTCTTTTGCGTATTGTAGGTATACGATGGATGATGGAGAAGAATCTTTTATTGTTTAATTTTAAAAAAGAGACAGAGAGAGAGAGAGAGAAAAGTTGGTTCACCGGCCATTTAACAATGGGGAGGGGCGGGGAGGGGGGGGGGAAAACAATTAATAAGGTCAAAATCCTTTGCCGGACTTTTTTTTTTTTTTTTTTAGGTTTTTTAGGTTCTTTTAGGGTCTGAAACAATTAACATTGTATTTTTTTTTTTGGGGTCTAGTTTATGTAAATTTTTTTGTTTTCTTTTTGTTGTTGTTGTTGTTGTTTAGATGAAGATTTTGTGTGTTTGTTGTTTGTTTATATAAACAATTTTTTTTTTAATTTACAAGTTGAAAGCTTAATGTCGTCGTTGTGGGTTTTATAAATCGATTTGTTTACTCTTGTAAATATTTCTCATTCGAATTGTTTAATAAAAAACAAAAAATTTGCAACGTTTCGCTAAAAAATATTTTAATCGCG